TTTAACGTAAAACAGTTCGGGAAAACGGAATTTGCTGTCCAATTTGTTAAAAAGTCAAAGATGAAAAAGTTACACACGCAAAGTACCAAGGGCCCCCCCGTACCCACCCCAATGGACCTTGTGGAAATAAATGGATTAGTCCATCAAATTGCTCATCAAAATTTAGCTGTGTATACCAAATTTCATTCATTTATCACAACGCGATTGCGAGATATTGCAAAAAAATGATTTCCATTCCTCCCTCTTCAATGGGTCCCTGTGCCCTTAGGAAGCATTTCCAGACCCATGTTCATATGATCTTTTTTACTTAGTTTTGATCATAGAATCGGCCTGTTCAGGGTTGGCAGCTAATTATGAGACACCCTGTATGAACTTGTGACATTATTTTCTCATTATCTATCCATATCCGAGAGATTGCCCACCATTTCCGGGACACTGTAGATATTGTATGCACACAGATATGTCGACCAAACTTAGTATGCTTTGCGAGCTGTTAGATGTCTGTTGATAAATGGCCATAAGCTTTCAAATTTTTTAAATACAATTTTCTAATGCAAATTTTTATTCTAAAGAAAACTTCTAGATTTTTTTTTGTATCTAATAATTTCCAAGAAAATTTCATTTTTAAAATTGCCTCCGGAAATCTAAAAAAAATAATAGCCATTATTTTGCTTATATTTCATCCAAATAAAACTACCATGTACTACATACAGGGTGTCCGCAAATTTCACAGACAACGTTTGACTGCATATTCACAACGATAAATAAATACGATCTATGAAAAAGAATTTAAATAAAAACTTTTTGGTTTTTGAGTTAGATGCCTTCAAAGTTGTCAAAAATAAAACTAAATTATTTAATAACTTCATAACCCTTTTGCCGATCGCGTTAAAATTTAGCACATTTATTTGGACTATTATGGCATATTATTTCTTAAAGCTTTAGTCAAATTGATGTACTGGGTGATAGTTTTCTCCAGTTACATCTCCCTTTTAGCAGTCAAAACTTTTGCACTGGTCGTATTTTTATAAAAACTGGCAGCAACTTTGAAAAGGTCGCTTCATTTAAAAAAAAATATTGTCCCTTGAGAAAATCGCCTGCAGAGAGCCATTCTTGAGAAAAATGTCATTATTTGCAGGTCTGTGCATTTCGGTTTGCGTAGCAGTGTCACGGATTTAAAACTTTGAGTTCAGTAGGCAATGAAAACAAGATTTTGATTGCTGTGGCTATCAGGTAATGTCATTATTCTCGTGTTTCTTTAGGATTCTCATCACTCCACACATGCAAATTATGAAGTGTCCACGGTGTATCAAGACAATTAAATGTATGTTTAACTATTGTTCACAAAACTTTAAAAAAGCAATTTCTTCGGACATTTCATTTAACTCCTGCTCAAGAACTTGAAAATCTCGATCCCAACGCATGTTTACAATTTTGCCACTGGTTGGTATGGCTTCGCAGAAGAAAATTTGCTTCAAAAATAGGTTTGTACTGAAAATTCTTGTTTTACAAGGAACAGAGTTGTAAATTTTCATAATTTGCATATGTGGAGTGATGAGAATCCTAAAGAAACACACTCAACTGAACTCAAAGTTTTAAATCCGTGACATTGCTACGCAAACCGAAACATACTGACCTGCAAATAACGCCATTTTTCTCAAGAATGGCTTTCTGTAGGCAATTTTCTCAAGAGACTAATATTTTTTTTAAATAAAATGACCTTTTTAATGTTGCTGCTAAAAAATATGATCACTGTAAAAGTTTTGACTTATAAAAGGGAGAGGTAACCGGAGAAAACTATCACCCAGTATATCGATTTGACTAAAGCTTTAAGAAATAATACGCCATAATAGTCCAAATAAATGTGCCAAATTTTAACGCGATCGCCAAAAGGGTTATGAAGTTATTAATTAAGTTAGTTTTATTTTTGACAACTTTGAAAACTTGTAACTCAAAAACCAAAAATTTTTTATTTAACTTTTTTTTCGTAGAACGTTTTTATTTATCGTTCTGAATATGCAGTCAAATGTTGTCAGTGAAATTTGCGGACACCCTGTATATAGTTATACATATTTAAAATATATTTTTCTGATGTGAATCTTTGGATTTAATAGTATGGCGGTTGATAGAAAGATTAGGTAAATGTAAAAGTAGTGGGAGTAGGCGTCTTTTAGTCTGAATTTTTAAATACTTTTCAGACATCTAAAAATAAAAAAAAGGCTGTAGAATGTAAAAAATATATCAACTTCATTCTTTTTTTACTTGTGATAATACCTTACACACTTATAAATAAACATTTTGTACATAAAAATTAATTAAAATTTGCTTGTATTCATGTGCTGATCTTACATGCAAAAGTTTTGTTACTATCGTCATTGTATATATTTACTTATACAATGCTATCGTACATAAAAATATGTATGTATCATAATAATTATTTTTCTCATCCATCTGTGGTATATTACCGAGATTCCATATGTCAAGTAATTACCAGTCGTTTTCATTTGCAAAGGAATTGAATCCGAACACCATCATTATTTAAATGTTATAGTCATGAATATGTTGGATATGTTTCAAAATTATGATTGTGTTGTATTCAGTTGTCTAATGTAAAAGGAAAGGGGGCTTATTGTTTTAAAAGCATATTGGCTTTTATAGAGCAAATATTTTAGGTTAACAATTACAACAAAGTATAAATTAAATTGTTTCTGATGAAGTTTAATTATAGTTTACAAAGAATGTAATATACAAAGTGGCCCATTTTGGATGGGAATACTTTTGCAGAAAAGGTATTTATTGTCCTATTTAATAAAATACTCTATAACGTCACACCAGTTGCAGCTCGTGATAGTGAAGCATATTCACTGATTGACTAAAACGAAAAAAAAAGCGCCGCAGTCGAAAATTTTCAAATTTTCAAAGTCAAACAGCTTTAAATGAATCTGGAAATTTTTAGTTGCATTTGCAATATTTCCGAAAAACTGACGTTCGTGAGAAGGATTTTCATTTAGATAGATTTTATAAAAAATACAAATATTAGTTCGGTTTGTCTGTTCCAAAGAAGATTTGTGGTTACAACAGCCTTCCGCGATTTTCCCAAAATTGTTAAATCCCCCCCTTATTCCACACGCCCGACTTTACACCCACAATTAAATATGGCATACAGAAAAGTTTTTTAAATTAACACTTCCACTTATACTCCGAATACCATTCATTCTGAAACTTCCGAACATACACATTGTCTTTTGACTTTCCCTTTTTTCCATATTGAGAGAATAAGGCATACGTGTCTCGCAATTTAAAAAATCCTTTTTGTCATCAATTTTCCATGTCGAAAATGGCGTTTCCAATAAAATATATACTGGATCATACATAGGAAACATTTCTATAATTATCGTCCCTATTATCACGTAGAGGCGTGCGTGTACATCCATTTCTTGGATTATACGCCCCTACGTGATAAGAGGGACGTTATTATTAAAAACAAATATTAACTAAGAACTGTTATAATGGTGCACTGGGCGACGCGTATCGTATAAACTGTTTAAAGGCAGGCGAATCAGGTGATGGACGTCTGGGCATTCTTGGCAATACGGCGATGACAATGCTGTTCACGTCACTCGTTCCCCCATGCTGTAATTTTCTCCCATGTTGGCTGCCTCGTTACCATGACAACCGCCGTAAACAACGCTTCGAAGAGAAGCGGAATTCAGACTGTTTGGATCTGCGTCACTTGCATATACTAAACGTACGGTAAATCTGCAATTTTTGTGTTTTCATGTCTTGTCAATATTTTTATATAATCTTTTGTTATTCGTAATTGTAATTAAATGGTTTATCCAGTAAAATTAAAAAGTTATTGTTTAATTTGAAAATGAATATTAAAAAGTAGTGCTGGAAAAAACCGGCTAACTGGGTTCCATAAAAACCGATTTCAGATAAAAACGGTTAGCCGAATATTAGTTAAAACTGGATATTCTAAAACCGGTTATTTGAATAACCAAATAACCGGTTACTCGATAATGGCCAAAACGGGATATCTGAAAACTGTCACTCGAGATAATGCAATCGTTGTTTGTCTGAATAGTATCTCGTGAATTAGACCAATCACCAGCCGGTGAAGCAGAAATAAAATTACTGGTCACGTGGCTCGTAAATATTTATGATATAATTGCGAAATTATAACTGAAACGATAAATACAAGTAGAGGAAAAAACTAACATAAACGTAGTCTAATTGAAAAATTCTATTAAAAAAAAATTAGTTAAATCGGACAATAACTACCTCATTTACAAAGGTGTTTCCATTTAAAATGGATCATACTGTTATAAATTAACATTATTTTCAGTTGGGTTTATGGGCAACTTTGGGGGCAACCGTAGCTGTTGGTGTAGCTGGTATAGCGGCCTATCGCTTCAAATACACATGAAATATTTATTTTAAATTATCCTATTGCATTTATTAACAGAGTTGTAATAAGTTATTATTTTAGATTTTTCATTTATTAAATAGTTACTTGAAATACATTCTCACACTGTTTGTTTATTATGTGGTGAAAATACCTATATACATTGTTTGTTATAAGTTTTTATTAAAAATTACTTAATTTAATATTTGATTTTGTTCACCTAATGGTTATGGAAAATGGTAAGTATTTAGTATTCAAGTAATAATTTTCAATGGCTTAAGGCTTAAGGTGTTATACACATATCAATGATAAAAAAGATGTATTGCTAAACACTTGGAAGAACTATTGTAAATATGAGGGTCAAATTTTTAAGGATAATAATATGTTCCCTAGAATACTAATCTGAAATTATTTATTTTAAATCAAATAAAAAATAAATTGGTAAAAACAAATTACTTTTGTATGGTTTTGTACATGCTAGTACAGTCATCCTATTATTTTCATGTCCAGGAAGATCAATTTTTTTTAGTGTTTTTATAAAAAATATATTTTTGCACGATTTATCTGTTATTATTGCGGATAATAATTGCAAGTAAAACTTTTTTTAAATAATTAAATTTGTTGATTTATAAAATGGACATAAGAAATAAAAATACTAATCTGATAACTTTAATATTTTTTAAAATCATTTCAAGTTTTTAATAAAAAGTATTTAATACTATTTCTTAAAGCACTGTATTTAATTTGTTAATCTCCGTGTCAATGGCCTCTGACGTTGACCTAATTTAGATGAATCAATCCACTTGATGTATTTTGAGAATGCCAGGCAGGCAAAAGACAAACGGCCAAAACTGGAAGAATCTCGTAAATTGTTAAATTTTTGTAATATGAAAAAACATACATGAATCAAGAAAGATGAGATTTAACAACTGTGCATGTCATAGCTCCCAACACACTATTGAAGTTGCACTAGCATGTCCATGTATGAAAATTATGAAAAGGGTTAAAACAAAATCAGATTTTGCTGACAGAATTTGAGAAAACAAACATATGTATTTCTAAAAGTCAAAGCTAATCTCTGTATAAATATGATCTCTATTTGAAGTTGCACCCTGTATATTCATTTCCAAATTTCACTACCCATGTTGTTTTCTCAAACTTGGTTATGCCCATGATCTATATGGGTTTTCTCAAAATGTGTACCAACAATACCTACTGTTTACATTGTTCTTCACAATCCAATACTTATTTCCGGTAAAATATAAGCCCTAGAAACTCCTCTGTGCCAAGTTTCATTGAATTATCTTACTGATCCATTATTATGTGACTGTTATCAAAAAAATAAAAACATTGTAGCATTTTAGTATATTTGATTATCTCCATTGTTCTGCTTGGAAGAAACTTTTTTACACCTAATTATGACTCGCATATAAAGGTAAGGTATTCTACATCATCTTATTTTAACCCCAGGAGTCTGTCTGTGAAGTGGTGTCCCAATGGGATATCCTAATTATAATGTTTTCAAATTCTTCAACATAATGTTACACAGTCAAATACAAGGGGGGCCAAAATAACGGACACCATTTTTAAAAAATACAGAACTTATTTTGTAGGGTTACAAACGTTAATCACCTTTGAAGTACTATTCATTAATATTAATACACTGATTCTAATATTTTTTTACGCTGCACAAAAGACCTTTCGTACTGGTCCTTTCCGATATTTTTCACCAAAAAATTACGCACAGAGATAGCTGTATGAGGTGGAGCATTGCTATGGTAGAAGAACTACCTCACTCTGCCACAAATCGGGTCGTTTCAACGGAACACTCACACAACCACCTCAAAACAGTCAGGTAGAAGACTTGGTTCACTGTTTGATACCTAGTGAACAATGCTACAAACGTCAAAAAAACATATCAGCATTGTCTTTACAGCCGATTTAACTTGTCAGATCTTTTTCGGGTGAGGAGAATTTGTGCCCTGCATGTGGCATGTTAATAAGCTGTAGGCAACATATCAATCGCTTTCGAAGGCCTTTTACCGAGCAGGAAACAAAATTTCTCGAATATCAACCATTTTAAAAAATCAAAGTCAAAATAATCACCACATGAAAACTGTCTGTCTCAGGGGCTCGGTAAAACCGTCTCAAGTGATGCCACTTGGCAGACTAAGTCAGGAGGGGTTACATAACACCCATCTAACGGGAGAAGTCTGAAGTACAAGAGTGGCAAGAGCAGTGAATTTCGTCCAGTTATTTTTGGATCACCCCTCGTATTATCCACAAAATATTTTTCACAAGAATATAGAAAATATAGCAAATACGAAAACATGCAGTGGTGTTTTTAATTTTATTTATATTGAACAAAGGTACTTAGAAAACAAAATGTACAAAAAAATTATTAAAAAATAATCAATTTATACAGGTTTATTTTCATCTAGATATATATACACAACACAAAAATAAATGACAATTAATAGTCAAAGTAGCAATAATTTAAACACTTATACGCCTTGCTTATTTGAGACAAATGAAGTTTCTTATGCAATTACTAATTATTCTATTGCAGTGAAGTCCTTATGACTCCGCATTTAATGACTGACTGCATATTGTGATATATTTTCACTCTTGAGTTTGTTTTCATGTAAATTTATTTTCAGGTTGCTCGGGATATTATTATAATTGAACTGCGTTGTATTTATTTTCACTGAAGTTACAAACATTTTCAGTTCAGTACAGTTTTGTAGAACGTGAAAAAGCAAATCTTCACACTAGTTAAAATATGACGTGTTAAGACATATTTCTTAACATTTGTTTTCTTAGTTGTTGGTCTCCTATACACGCTGGAGTTTGTGTAGTGTATGATTTGATTGGGAATGTAAAGATGGTGGTCTACAATATGCGATATATGTGGCATCACCTCTATACATTTTGCATACATTAAATACATTGATGTGACGTATGGTGTCATGACGCAGTACACACCCTACAGTCTCCATAGGAGAGCAACTGTTTAATATTGCAACTGCATTTAGATATCTCTTTTTAATGCTTCTATGGCCATGAACCGATGGTAACCAACATATTAAGCCTCAAGTAAGCAAGGCAATAGAAAATAAATAAATAAATAAACAGATAAAAATTATATTAATAATCAGTGCTACATATATTTTTGGCACATTGGTCTTTTAAAAACAAATGTGAAAACAGTAAATTACATTTATTTTATTAATATAGAAATGTTAAAATTGTGCATGTTAGTAGACAAATGATATGCAGAATATAGTGGTGATATATGCTCTAACAAACCTATCAGACATTTTCGTTAAGTACTTATCTAAACAACTCAAAAACTATAAAGTAGCAGGCACTAGCAATTAATACACCTTAATAATGAATGGATTAACAATTACATTTTTATTAACACAGAATCAGTTATTTTCATTTTTTGGACTGTGTTAACTAATATTGTTATATGGGTGTAATGATGAGCAATGTGCATAACTGCCGAGGACGCTCTGCCTCCAGGTCCCCAAAGTAGCTATCAGTAAATTGAATAATTAGTAAAAAAACAACTTCAAATAACAGTATCTGCCTGAAAATTATCCAAATTTAATTAGAAACAGAAAGTCTCAACTTCAAGAACAAATAACTACAGGGTGAAACCAAATAATTTTTTTTACATAAACTTATATTTTTGCGAGTCCTATCCAAATCTGTGAGAACATTTCCTGGACACCCTGTGTTTCCAAAAATCTAAATATTTCAATGAAAATATTGAAAATTATTAATACAGGCGGTCCTCGAGTTACATCGTTTCGAGTTGTGTCGAACAATATTTTAACACCAGTCCTCAATCTAACGTCAATGGTTTCGAGGTACGTCATGGGCTATTTCACTTGTGCGGTCATCAGTGTTTGGATATTTACACAATGCCATGAATACTTTTAAGGAACATGATCCAAATTTTGGAAGAAGTTTTAATGTTAATATCAAAATCATTACTTCCTGTCAGTGTTATTGAGAAATATATGAAAACAAGAAAAAAGAAGCGGAACGAACTTGAATTGATACATTTTTTAAACCAAAGTTTTAGTATGATTCTTTCTATTTTTTTAATTGTGCAATAAGTATGTACCAAATACATGGTCCGTTTTATAAATAAAGTATGGTTATTTAATATGTAGTTTTTTTGCATTATATGTTCAGCTAGAACCTAATTCTTCACTATATAAAAATGGATGAAAAAAAATGTATCGACTTACATCGTTTCGATTTACATCATGTATTTTCAGAACTGAACATGTCGTAAGCACGAGGACTGCCTATATATAATAGTCTCTGATCTATATATTAATGATATAGTAGTACAGTTTTAAGAGTATTAAAAGAAGGATAAATAAATTTGGTATGGTAATTTGTACCCTAAGAATAATAACATTTTTTTGATTACATTTTCCCTGATTTTTTTTTACATTAAAATACATTATTTAATTAACTTGAACATAAATTTAGCAGTTTCATTAGTTTCTATGAAATGATGTAAAAAAGATTATTTTTAAACATAATTTCAGTAGTTTCTTTGGTAAGGTGCTAGTGCCTACAACTTTCGATAAATTGATAATTTGCTAAAATTTAATAAAAATATATATTTTCCAGTGAACAACACAATAAATAAATAAATGCATTATTTGCCGCAAGTTTCTGGATTAAACAATTCTAATGTTGTTTTTAACAGTAAGTATTTATCTTCTTATATATATTTATCACAAAATAATGACTCGATTTTATATGTTTATCTAAATAAATAAAAACAATTTATGCGACACGAAAAAAACTAATTTTTGTTAAATATTAACAATCCATTAAAAATATAAAAGTTATTTTTACAATTTTTATATAGTCCCATTTTGTTTCATAAATTAAAATTGAAAGAATTTTTGTCTCATTTTCCTTTGAAATGTGGAAAGGTTATGCTTGTTTTCATTTCATGAAATTTATAGTTAAGCAATAAAAACTAGTGCTGGCAAAAACCGAAAAAAAGTGAAACCATTTAACCGGTTCTATAAAAACTGATTTCAGATAAAACCAGTTAGCCAAACAGTGGTTAAAACTGGT